CATTATCAATAAACCTTGGATTATTGTCAAGCATTCATAAATGCCTCATGAAAATTATTGTCCCATCCCTTACCTGCATAATGTATTGATGTATCATTAATCATATTGATATGGCTAGCATTTTTTCTCCCCTCCCCTCACTTTCAGAGAGGGTACCTTTGGATCGTAAGGTTCACATTCTTTTACATAGTTTTCCAAATTAAGACAGCTGAGGCTCCAAGTGATGAAAACCTTGCCATCTGTCATCCATCAACTAGAAGTTTGCTTATTAATTAATACTGAACAGGTTACAATTCAATAGTTATGTGATGCTCCATGCTGATGTCAATGAATTTTGATTTACGTGTACCATACATGTACATACAGTTTTGTTTATATATATATATATATATATATATAGAGAGAGAGAGAGAGAGAGAGAGAGAGAGAGCGAGAGAGCACAGGAAATAACAGCAACTGCATTATGCTCATCACGCAGTCTTGTGTACAGCAATCACTGTATATCGGAATCACTTAAGCAATTAGGAAAACTTAGATGACTGAACACCGTTTTGCGTTGATGAGATGTATGATTTTGTAGAAACAGAATGAAAGACACGAATATAGATAATATTTGTTTTTTATCACAAACCAGAAGTCTTAAAGCATTTATCAGAAGGGAAACAAACAGACTTCATACTTACCCAATAAACTAAAATGAACTCCTCTTCGATTGTGTTAACTTGAAAAACTACATGTATTCCGCTCTCATCCCAAAGAATCTTCACTGAATCTTTGCATATGTTAGGCGAGATGCCAGTGGTGATTGAATTTTCTTACGTCGTTAATATCCCTAAATATATTCCATAACGTGCGAAATACTTGAAAATAGTATTCCGATCCGAATGAACAAGTCTCTTAGTGAAAAAAAAAGACCCCCGCAGGAAAAACGCAATCAACATATCTTTCACAACTACCACACTGCATCGGCGGAGAATCGGGGCACATCAAGCGCATCCCAGCAACGCTACGTTCAAGCTATTTCGGCCCAGATCTTTTGATTTTTAGTTCAAATATGAATTGATAATATTTTGGTTGAAAGGATTTGATTTCATAAGCATTGACATTACAGCCCCTATTTTATTTCAATTTTCGCGGACGATAGGCCTACCGGTATTGTTTGATGTCCATTGCCCGATATACAATCAGGGGCTGATCCAGGATTACTTGAATGGGAGTGGGGGGGTGGGGGGGGGGTGGGGGTGGGGGGGGGTCTGCCGCGGATCCTACAAATTTCTAATCACTTTCATACACAATGTTACTCGTAGTGGTTTATCTGTGTTTAGATTAATTTCACATAGTAGAAAATAAAGACCATCTCTTTGAAATGAAATATGCAAATGCTGATATATTAACTTGATTTTTTTCCTACAGATGGAGAATTTTCTTTTATAAATGAGGTATCCTAAAACATTTGTTAAAAGTTGAACACAGGATTTAGTCATTTGGCTGGGATGGATAAAAAGATACTCTTCTCTTCATTATTGAATATATTAACTAAATTTTGTAACTCAAGACAATCTTCTAATGAATTATGAGCTGAACAATTTGTCAAGTAATTTACAAACTCAAGTCTCTTGTTAATGATTGGGTAAATTTGTATAAAGTCGTCACATGGAATAAAGTACAATTTATCTTCTAAAATTCTGTTCATTTCCCAAACATAAAAAGTATTATTTGTATTTTCATCAAAATTCCTTGGTTATCTGTTATGTTGTGTTTGATGGGTTTTGTACTGTACATTAGTACTTTTACAAAGCCATTACAAGAATGGCATTGCAACACCAAATATCTGCTCACACCAGAAGGGAGCACAACTATTGCATCTTTCCAAGGGAGTTAAAATTGCACTGTTTACAGGTCATATTGCTCAATAACATACTTAAATCAACTGCAAAATGCAGTGAGTCTTTTGATTTTAACTTTTTGTGAAAGAAAAGAGAATTGTTTCCGGCATACATATCATGGTAGCAATATCGTGAGTAATCAGATATCAATGCAGAAGAAGACCATGTCTTGCTGCACACATCACAACCATATAACAAATCACCACAAGGCACTTTGTGGTCAAAATGCAAGCGCTTGTGAATATTTCCAATGGGATAAGATCTCACGGCTATACAAGCCTTACTAAAATGCTCTTTTCCAACCCTCTCCTTGAAAATTTTCCCATTGCAGCATTTGTAAATAAAGTCACATGTGTGTCCTTTACGTCGTTAAAGACTTGGTGTTCACGGATACGCAATGCATTGTTGACATACTTGTAGTGCTTCGGCCAAAATAACAACAAATATTTCATAAAAGGATGATTTACATGTTTTAATACATGTTATACTTTTATCATTAGCCGTTTTGCAAAAAAAAAAAATAATAATAATAATAATAATCATGCGCCAAATCTACACAGATCACAAAAAAAAGCCAGTAATGATGAAACATCTCCTCTGAATGTAACAACTCTGTAAAATGGCTTAAAACACTTAAATGTTAATACATGTAATTTCAACAAATCTAGTACAATGTTTGTGAAATTTCTACAAATGATTCTTAGCAAAAAAAAAAAATCTTATCTGTTCACTGAGTGTAATGAAACTTTTTAAAATAATATATTTGAGAAAAGTGCAAATTAAAGTCATGATAACTCTTCATTTTGGCCAAAAATTGGATTTTCCTGGAGTAAACGGCAATTTTCCCATACTTGCTAATGGTCAGCGACCCCATTCCTGCATTCAAAGTTAGTCCAGGCTTTTTTTCCTAAACATTTGGTTTTTTGTTAAAATCTCTTAAGAGATTTTAACTGACGGAGCCCAATCTAGCATTGCATAGTCACGCGATATCAAGCGATAATTTCTGGTGACCTACTTAAAACTGCGGGAAAAGCAGACAACAACAACACTGTATAACAATAATATAAGATTCATAAGATATATTCGTCTTACTGCTAAAAATGCATTTATATCTACAATGTGTGCTATTCTGGGCTTTTCGTTATCCAAAGCACTGTACAAAAACTCGCAACTTACGTCTGCGTATTGCATCAGGCTTTTCACGCCAGAAGTTATTTTGGTCTCAAATGAAAGCGAGAATCAGTGTAACATCCCAACGTCATTGGCAACAGATGCCTTAACGACCAGGAAGAAAGGCATTGAAAGCCCTATTGACAAGCACAGATTTTAGTTTTACTACAATAACGGTCGTTTTAGTGGTAAAATGCACTAGAATATATTTCCATGCATTTTTTACAATGCATTTCTCGTGGAATTTTGAATCTCAAAGGAAGAGTTATTATTGCTTTAAATTTAAACAAGGCAGCAAAGCTGTGAAATGTACAGACAAAAACAGAAAATAAAAATGCAGAAAATAGGACATTTTGTCAATTTTGATGCAATAATAAATAATGCTTATAACAGCACAGTCAATCAACACTGAATTTTAATCATGCACAACAGGTAACATGGTCAATTACAGGAGCAGATCCAGAGAATTTTCTGACAGTATTCCAAATTATCTTTGTTGATCCATCCTCCATTTTTGATGGTCTTCTAACACAAAAGAATAGATTCCCGTCAATGTAAACTTTAAAATCTGACCATCATATGGAAGAACCAGAAGACAGTTTCTATCCAGCCCTGCAACAAGATTATAGTTTCAGGACCATGAAAGTTCAAATTCACATAATGAAAATCCAAATATTTGAAAATGATGACAGTGCATAAAATAATATTACATAATCTCCTAAGGGTTCATAATGACATCATGCTTTCCTTAGACAAACAAAAAGATGTTATTTTAGTCCTTTTAGATCTGTCTGCTGCATTCGACACCATTGACCACAACATACTTCTGCAGAGACTACAGTACCGATTTGGAGTAAATGATTTAGCACTTAATTGGTTAACCTCACATCTAAAAGATCGAACATAAAAGGTGTCAATTGAGTCCTTGCTATCAGAGCCCACTGTTTTAGAGTATGGTGTCCCTCAGGGGTCTGTGCTAGGTCCATTGCTCTTCTCATTGTATATGCTACCAATAGAAGACATTATAGTTAAACATGGTCTCAACACTGTCATTTTTGCTGATGACACTCAAATTTATGTCACAAGTGAAAGTAATCGCTCCATGGCTATCACCTCAATAAAAACTTGTCTAGTTGAGATCTGGAATTGGATGAAAACAAACATGCTAGCACTAAATGATGGAAAAACTGAACTAATATGGTTTACATCAAGGTCTAAGTCAGACAGTGGAAATGCAATGAAATCTGACATTTGTATCGGTGGTGTCAACATCAATCCATCTAGCTATGTGAAAGATTCAGGTGTCACCTTTGATCAGTATGCAACTATGGATAGACCACCATTCATATCCATATACCTTTACATATCTAATTAGTTTAAAAATGAGAATCTTAACATGCCCAAAAATCAAATCTGAGTGGAAAACACTTATTTCCAAAAAACAACAAAAAAAGAAAAAAAAAGCCATAACTTCACCAAAACTTAACTGATCAAGCTTATTTTCAAACTTATTCTGTATTTCAGTAAGACTGATCACCCCTGTGAACTTCAAGACAATTGGCCAATTTTCCTTGAAATGTGTTGCATATATGCTGAAAAAAATTGAAAAAAAAACAAACAAAAAAAAAAAAACGGCATAACTTCCATAAAAATGGCCTGATCATGCTGATTTTCAAACTTGACCTGCATATTATGAATATTCATCCGTTATGTAAGTTTTAAGCCAAAAGGTAAAACAGTTTTCCACTTATCGTGTTACAGGTGTTGTATATATGCTGAAAAAAGTGAAAAAACAGCATAACTTTCACAAAAATTGTCCAATCATGCTATCCACCCCTGCAATAAGATTATAGTTTCAGGACCAAAAACAGCATAACTTCCACAAAAATTGTCCAATCATGCTGATTTTTTAACTTGACCTGAGTATTATGAATATATATATAAGTTCTGTAAGTTTCAAGCCAAAAGGTAAAAGGATTTTTCACTTATTGTGTTATCGGTGAAAGTGCAAGGTGACGATGGCGAAGACAGACGAAGGTGACGGCTATATTTACAGACACATCTGTGTCTGTACATAAAAACTGCTGATGCTGTATATAAAAATAGTTAAATGTTAATAACTTTGTGAAATTTCCTTAATTCTTTGTGAACTTTGCACAATGAAGCTTATAATTAACAACTGAAATAATCAGCCATAAGCTTATCAGTTGACTGTGTGTAATGAAATTGATTTTTCGGACAATATATTTGAGAAAACTAAAAATTGCACAGAAAAAAGGCAAATTCCATGGTTTAAAATACTTTTATGTTAATAATTTTGACAAATCAAGTCCAATGTTCGTGAAATTTCTACAAATGATGCTTAACAACTGAAATAATCTGAGATCAGCTTATCAGTTGACTGTGCCTAATGAAAATGATGTTTTCAGAAAATATTTAAGAAAACTAAAAATAAGATTGAAAACACTGGCAAATTCCATACCTAAACATATTCAAATGTAAATGATGTTGACAAATCTAGTCCAATGTTTGTAAAATTTGTAAAAAATAAGCTTAACAACTGTAATAATCTGAGATAAGTGTATCAGTTGACTGCGTTGTTTATTGGCAATTGATATGAGAAGATTGAGAATTACAAAAAATAAAATTTTCAATATTACAATAATATTATTCAGTATCAAATGAAGCATTTAATGTTATGATTTGAGTTTGGTTGTGTAAGAGGTGACAAATTACCTATTACTGCCATCAGGAAACAATATATACCCATTCAAGATTTCTCCTTACTACCAATACCAGATGCAGATTCCTCCTTGTAATGGGTGTCTAAAATCAGGCTTTGCACATCATTTGACATTTATAATGTTGCCACATATCATGTATTCTACACATGGATGAGATAATGCACTGCTCTTGCTGCTGTTTTTCACCGCCTACTTTTTTAGGTATTATCCATTACAAGATAGGTAGAGTCAGTTCCCCAAGAAGCCACCATGCTGTATGGAAAGGGTCACCTGGAAAAAGAACAATATATTTGAGAAAAATGAAAATCATATTAAAATTATCTCCTACTAGACTATTAGACTTAAAAACTGGAAACTTTGGTGATTGGTGAAACTGTAGTCAAAATGTGTGTTGGCATTTCAGAATTTTAGTGCAACAGGGGGTTGCGCCCTCCCTTGGGGGGGGGGGAGGGGATGATTCGGAATTCTTTTCATGTTATTTCTGTTATCTCCCCCTAGACCATTTGAGTTAGATAATTGAAACTTTGGTGATTGCTAGACCTGTCATCAGGGAATTGCGTTGGCACTTCAGAATTATTTCAAGAGGGCATTGGGATGTCCTTGGGGGGGGGATAGTTGTTCAAAATTTTTTTCACGTTATAATTTCCCTGATCTCCTCTTAGACCATTAGACTTTAGAAGTTGAAACTTTGGTGAATGATAGCTGTTTCCTCAAGGATGTGCATGGGCATTTCATAATTAGTTCAACAGAGGGTTTGGCTATCCCTGGGGGTGATTGATTTTGAAGCCTTTTCTCATTGTTATACCATTATGCTTATATGTCATGTAACAACTAATTGATCATTTTCTGACGTTTGTATCTGTACAGGCTGATGAGGAAATTATAGGGCAAAACACAATGGCAATGCAAATGAGTTGACGTCAAGCCAATGCTATGTGCACAAATATGCAAATCAATCCCCGCTTGTCACACTGTTCATGCTCAACGGGGAATTATTGCCACTTGCTGCAAGCCAAGGTAATTACAAAGTTCCTTATCGGTTGGAACTGTTCCTTTCTCTAGGCTGAGATAGTCCTATCTCCTGCCTTGCTAGTGGTTTGTTCCATAAGGTGACCTCATTTGAAAGTTTTTGGCGTATTATTCTTAACTCATAACACATATAAATCTCTAAGTGACCCTTTTACAAAATGATAATTTCCCAGGTACTATCAGTGGCGGATCCAGAGATATATTCTGACAGTCTTCCAAATTATCTTTGTTGAGCCATCCCCCATTTTTGAATGTCTTCCGACAGAAAAATTAGATACCTGTCAATGTAAACTTGAAAATCTGACCGTCTTCCGGAAGACCCAGAAGACGGCCTAAATCCGCCCCTGACTATATATAGTGATGATGAACACCGAACACCAGCAGAGCAATATTATTGTTGCACTGACCTGTGCTGAAGCTGTGACATTGTAGATCTTGCTCGTAATGATGAGTTTATAAATTAGCTGTCCTCAGTTGGATGATAATCCAAGAGACATACCTTCATCTCTGCTGAAATCAGAGAACACATCATTAATTAAGAATATATACAGACATATACAGCAGTTACATCATAGACATATCACAGTGATCAAAATATATATAAACACATACAGCCACAAAACAAACATGCATAGTGATCAGAATATATAGAGACACATACAGCATCACAACAGGCAGTACACAGGCTTCAGAATGTATGCAGGCATTTTTTTTCTAGTTGTGAGGGTCAAAAGGGATTGAAATGAACAACTAAGTAAAGCAATATTATTGTTGCACTGACCTGTGCTGAGGCTGCAACGTTGTAGATCTTGCTAGTGATGATGAGTTTATAAAAAAGCTGTCGTCAGTGTGATGATAATCCAGGAATCATACCGTCATATCCGTTGAAAACTCAGTGCCATCCCAAAACAACTCCTACAAGTTCATATCAACCCTTGTCAATTTGTACATATATAAAACTCAGTGGGATATAAGTTGCCCTTTTACAAAATGATAATTATACAGCTACTAATTATAGTTGTGACTGTCAAAAGGGGATAGAAGAGAACAACAAAGTATAGCAATATCATTATTGCACTGACCTGTGCTGAGGCTGCGATGTTGTGGTCTTGATGTGATGATCAGTTTAGATGTCGTAAGTATGATGATAATCAAGGAGATACACCTTCATCTCTGCTGAAATCAGAGAACACATCATTAATTGAGAATATATGCAGACATATACGGCAGTTACAACATAGACACATTACAGTGATCAAAAATATATATAAACACATACAAAACAGACATGCATAGTGATCAGAATATATAGAGACACATAAAGCAATGCAACAGGCAGTACACAGGCTTCAGAATGCATGCAGGAATTTTTTTCTAGTTGTGAGGGTCAAAAGGGTATTGAAGAGAACAACAAAGTATAACAATATTATTGTTGCACTGACCTGTGCAGAAGCTGTGACATTGTAGATCTTGCTGGTGATGATGAGTTAAAAATAAGCTGTCCTCAGTTGGATGATAATCCAAAAGACATACCTTCATCTCTGCTGAAATCAGAGAATACAGGCACATACAGTATACACAACACAGATATAATACAGAGATCAGAATATATTTAAACATTCAAACAATGACAAAGCAGACATATGTACATGTACAGTAAGCAGAATATATACAGACACACACTGTCACAAAAGACAATGCACTGTAAGGCATGAGAAAACATTAAATTTAATGTTTATATATAGGAATTGGAATGACTGTCAGAAATTCTTGTTCACATTCACCAGTTCATATTAACCCTTAATTTTCACTCTGAACATATAAAAGACTCTGTGGGATTTAGGTGACCCTTTTAAAAATGATAATTTACAGGAAATTTCGTCTATATACAGATTTTTCTCAGCGCCTTCCCACCCCAACCCCTATGAGTTCACATCAACCCTTGTCAATTTGAACATATATAAAACTGTGTGGGATCTAAGACTGGGTTCCCATACCTTGATCAATCCATCCGGATCAGTCTAACTCCCTAAGGAGTCTCACTAGATTGCTATCAACTTAATCGACTTAATTGTCTGCCAGGAATATCGAACCAACTAGGGGGTAAAGATAATTACCCCCTTACAGCTTTACTAAGCATGACAGACATTTAAAACGGTTAAGTTGATAGCAATTTAGTTAGACTCCCCAGGGAGATAGATCAATCCAAATATCTGTGGGACTGTCCCCAAGTGACCCTTTTAAAAATGATAATTTCCCAGGAACTATATAAAGTGGTAAGGATCAAAAGGGGATTGAAGAGAACAACAAAGTATAGCAATATCATTTTTGCGCTGACCTTTGATAAGGCTGCGATGCTGGAGATCCTGATATGATGTTGAGTTTAGCTGTCCTCAGTGTGATGATAATCCAAAAGACACACCTTCATCTCCGCTGAAAAGAATATATGCAGACTTATACAGCAGTTGCAACACAGACACGTCACAGTGATCAAAATATATATAAACACATACAGCCACAACATAAACATAGATAGTGATCAGAATTTATACAGACACATACAGCCTCACAAAATTCAATGCACTCTAAGGCTGCATTCACATGCAATGTCTATTTTCTAAATTCTATTTTCTATTCGCGGTATGTCTTATGATCACGGTCTGTGCCCTGAATATCCCGCGGCGTAATTACTGGCAGTGCGAGCCAGTTACTTATACGAAGCTGTAATTAATTCTCGGCGGTGCTCAGAGGAGATTCTGATACCTTGACACATGCGCAGTAGGAAGTTAGCAAGTTATGGCAACCGCGATTGCTTTGAAAAATGTGTTTGTCGATTTTGTGCAACAACAAGATGAAGAAGATGAAGAAGCTATACACACAACAGATGTGAGTACAACCGTCATGATCCGATGGCAAGTGATGCGGCAACGGAGGATGAGATTTTATAGAATGCGAGCTAGGAGGCGAAAACTGTTGATGCTGCTTTTGTTGTCTGTGCTGCTTGTTTCACCTGAGAGGACTATATGGTCTCGGGAAAGGTAATGTTTGCTATTCTTATCAACAGGGAATGTTTCAACAGTGTGACATTTTCCTCGTGTTCGTTTCCTTACACGACTTCACGATTTCAATGTATTATGGACCCCAAATTCTAAAATCCAGATGAGGTGAATCGTCAGGTATAACCCCCCCCCCCACACACACACACACACACACACACACACACACACAAAAAAGTTTGAGAAATATAAAGTGTGTGAAACGGTAACTAAGGCGAAAATATACATGTGTACACCTAGCTAAGGTAAATGTATTTACTTATAATAATAATTTATTGAGCACTAAAATGTTTCAGTACATTTTGCAGGCCCTGTAAACTACTTGTGTTATACATACATGTAATATATATATATATATATATATATATATATATATATATATATATATATATATTTATGAAACCATTATATTAACATTGTTCATATGCAAGAATAATTTTGTTATAGAACAGTCTCAACAATAAACAAGGGAATTATATTCAAGCCTGATTTCTTTTTATACTAGAAATGTATGCATAATGCATTTCTTTGTATTTATTGTTATGTAGTTTTATTGTTTTAGGTCAAGCCATTGGATGGAGAGAATCGTTAATGAAATATTTGATGATAGGGACTGGCAAGAAAGTTTCAGAATGAGGCGGGAGACATTTGAATATCTGGTCAACGAATTAGCTCTGCATTTACCAACACCTGGGATGTGGAGGTAGGTTATGATCTTACGGGACACTGATATTTTAATTTCTATCGGTAAGAAAGAAACCTGTAATAAATAATTGTATAGATAATAAAACTGCCAACATACCATTGTAGATTTCCATTATAAGCATCTTCTATGCTTGAGTATGAAACAGAATTTAGATGTTTAGTTTTTATGTTTGTCAGCATTTTTTTCCACTGAGCAAAAGATAGATGTTGCATGGTGACTATAAGAATGCTTCTGTGCTTGATCCTGTCATAATAAATATTGAATTGCAGGATTTTAGGGTGTTTTAGTTATAGAAATTATGTGGAATGTTTCTTGTGTTTGATATTTGGTGTTTAAATTTCAGATCGATTTCTATGCGACGACGTGTGGCTGTTACCCTGTGGATTCTGGCACACAGCACAGACTACGCGACAGTGGGGCATCTGTTTGGGCTGGGCCGCTCAACAGTGTGCATGATATTCAGACACACGGTGTTGGCTTTGGCAACACACATTGCTCCCCTGTACATACAAATGGAGAGAGGCTCGATGCCATTGTGAGGGGGTTTGAGGAAACATGGGGGATGCCTCACTGTGTAGGGGCCATGGATGGGACGCATATTCCAATTGTGGCACCATTGGAGCACAAGGGAGATTATTACAATAGGAAGGGATTTTATTCCCTTGTTGCTCAGGTAAAAAATAGACTTGTGATAGCTAGCAATAACAATATTGTTTTAGCAATACTTAGAAATAGAACACTAAATTAATAGTAATAAACGTGAGACTATTATATTAGTATTTTAATTTTCTGTTTACTAAGTGTAGAATTTCCTAAATAAAGATATTAAAGTCTCACATCTAACTACCCCCCCAAATTTTTTTTTTCATAAGCTGACTAAAAATGATTAATTTGGGGATAAGAAACTTTCTGACCTTGCTGTATCCTTCCTTCAGTGAAAATATATTTTAGTCATTACGTGGCATGAGCTTGATATTTTTTCCATTTTAGGTTGTGTGTGACCATGAGACCAGAGTGTTGGATGTCGTTGTGGGGTGGCCCGGCAGTGTCCATGATGCCAGGGTTTTGGCAAATTCGAATGTCTACAGGAAGGCAGAAGAGGGGAGGCTGTTCCCAATGGATGATCAACATGTAAGAAACACTGAAGGAATAGATGTCCCATTGTTTATTTTGGGAGATTCTGCCTACCTGCTGAAGCCCTACCTAATGAGGCCCTTCCCAGATAATGGACACTTAAATAGGCTGCATACTAATTTTAATTATAGACATTCTCGGGCAAGGATACCCATCGAATGTTGTTTTGGGAGGACAAAAAAGAAGTGGAGTATTCTCCAATATCGTATTGTCTTTGACACTGAATTTGTTTCGCATCTTTTAATGGCATGTTTTGCTTTACATAACATTTCTTTAGTTCACAAACATGAAATTAATTTTGAGTTTATTTTGCAAGTGGAGCAGGACCGTGAACATAGAGGGTATCATCCACCGCCTAGAGAGGAGAGGGCACGGTTTCGAGGAAAAGATATAAGGGAATCGTTAATGGGGTTTTTCAATAGATAGACTTTCTTCCTCCATTTTAGGATAGTAGTTCTGTTTTTGAATAGTTTGAATTACCTGACCTAAAAACAAAAATTGGTTACAGAAAATAATAAACTTATTTATTACTTTCATTGTCTCTTCTCTTGTATTTTTAAGACTGTGGCATATGCAGATAATGTGTGCATTTACCGAAAGTAACAATGAGGTATTACGGTATTTTGTTTACCATGGGTATATTCTCAATTTTGGATTAATTTGTTATCTCTACTCTCCACCCATTATAAGGGTTAAAATGCAGTAATTTATAGGACATTTACAATTTGCTGGATTACACCCTAGGTTCAAGATGCAGGCATTGCAAGCTCAATTTTTATTTCTTCTTTAACTTGCTGCAGATTCGAAAGTGCACACCGCAAAACAGCAATGACGCAAGGTATCACAAAGCATTGGCTAAAATTTGGTGATATTAAAAAACAGGTGTCAAGGAATTGTACTTTCTGTACAAAATGGCAATCCTGATTTGTGAAGTTTAAGTAACAAAAAGGACAATGTTTTCTTGGATAGATAGCAAGGCATGGGTTAAAGATAAGGACTAACAAGTCCAGGGAAACTACCCTGAGGTTATTCTTTTCTTACTTTCCTGACCTCTGTTACTAAAATTATAAATTAACCTCTTACTCTGGTAAAATATGGAATGTGAATTCTACAGATACAAAGATCAACATATAAGCGGTATCCAGCTGTGGTAAGTGTATTTATGTAGTCCTTGAAAGTAAGCATCTTTTTCAGATGCCCCTCACTCAATTTAAGGTACCCTCCCCTTTACCAAAAAATAAATGAAATTCTACATGAAAGTAAGACCTCTTTTAAAACACAAAAAGAAAAGCTGTCCCTATTTCTCTACGGTCATGGATCTTTATCACCCGCCCAAAATGAAATTATCTTCGAAACTGTTGCAAATTTTCTTCTCGAAAACTTTGTCATCACTTAATAGGTACTATCTCTTTTCTTCTTCTTTCTTTCTGTACTTAATTTGTGCTCCATAATATTTGTATATATGTATATATGTATCCATTTGTTTTATTTATTTACTTATTTAATTTTGTGGAGAGCATATAATGCTTCCAGCGCCTTGCCTCCATTTCTTTTTTTTTGAATAAACGTTGTTAAAAAAAAAGTAAGCAAAACAACCTGTTGTAACCATTTGCCATTTATTGGTTTTAATAAACAATAAATTTGA